GCCACTTCCGGTTTTCTGGTGGTTTACTGGAGATAGGAGTCTCACGGTCTCTCCTGCCTGGGCTGGCTTTGAACCGCGATCCTCAGATCTCAGCCTCCTGAGTAGCTAGGATTACAGGCGTGAGCCACCAGCGCCCGGCTTTGACCTATCAATTTTTAAGTTAGCATATATCACTTGTATAATGGTATTTTATTGAGATATTTCCTTACATGCATACAATGATGTTGATCTTATTCACCCCTTTATTACCTTTTTCCCTCTCTACCCTTCATTAAAAAAGTTAATGGAATTTATTCATATGTATGTAAATGTATCTTTTATCATATTCACCTATCACCTCCTACTTTCCCTGTCTGAACCCTCACCCAGTATCTTCCAGCAGTTCACTTTGTGTGTGTGTGTGTGCACGCGCGCATGCTGGTGCTGGGGCTTGAACTCAGGGATTGGGCAATGTTCTTGAGCTTTTTTGCTGAACTCTAGTGGCCTAACACTTGAGCCACAGATCCTCTAATGTCTTTTTGGTGGTTAACTGAAGAGTCTCATGGACTTTGCCACCCAGGCTGCTTTTGAACCATGATCCTCACATCTCAGCCTCCTGAGTAGCCAGGATTACAGCATGAACCACTGGTGAGCTTTTAAAAAAATTTAGTTCAATATTCTGCAACAGGATTATTAAACAGGATTTCTCATGGGTTTCTGAAGGGCATTCTTCTTTTGAAACTTCTTGAGAATTAAAAAAAAAAGATAGTCTCAACTGGATGCCAGTGGCCCAGACCTATAATCTTAGCTACACAGGTGGCTGAGATATGAGGACCACATTTTAAAGCCAGGCCAGGCAGGAAATTCCTTGAGCCTCTAATCTCCAAGTAACCGTAAAAAAAAAAAAAAAAAAGAACAACCAACAACTAGAAGTGGTGCTGTGACTCAAGTGGTAGAGGCAGTAGCCTTGACCAAAAAAGCTGAGGGACGACACTCAGGCCCTGAATTCAAGCCCCAGGACTGGTTGGCACAAGAAAAAAAAATCCCAGGAGCAAAGCTCAGCTATGGAAAGAACTAGAGATTGTAACTTGCACAGCTGCAACAGAAAAGCTGGCCCCCTAGATACTACTTTCATATTTAGCCTGTGGATTTTGGAATGATTTCAACAACCTCGGTCCAAATTCACTAACATTCCTCACCCCTGCATCTGTAGCTCTTCTTCATCACTGTACATACACCCGTACACTGGAGCACTAAACTCACTAGTGTTTTTTTTTTTTTTTGTCTGTCTTGAATTCAGGGCTTGAGCTCTGTCCTTGAGCTCCTTTTGAACTGTGATCCTCAGATTTCAGCCTCCTTAGTGTCTATCCACTGTTGCCTAGCCTGGGAGCCTGCTGGCCCTGAGGCTTGAACTCTGGCCTGGAAGCTGTCCCTGAACTCCTTTTCCTCAAGCCACAGCATCACTTCCAGCTTTTTCTGTGATTTAATTGGAGATAAGAATCTCACAAATTTTCCTACCTGGGCTGGCTTTGACATCCTTAGATATCAGCCTCCTGTGTAGCTAGGATTACAGGCATGAGCCATTGGCACCCGGCTTAAAATCTTAGTTGAACCCTCACATAATCTAGTTCCTTGCTGTATTAAATTTGTATACTTTTCAGATGAGATTGACGCTCAACATGGATGTACACAGATGAGTTAAAGTAAGTTAAACTTAAAAAAAAATTTTTTTTGGGTCCGGTCATGGGGCCTGAACTCTGGGCCTGGGCGCTGTCCCTCAGCTCTTCAGCTCAAGGCTAGAACTCTACCACTTGAGCCACAGCACCATTTCTGGCTTTTTTCTTATGTGGTGCTGAGGAATCGAACCCAGGGCCTCGAGCATGCAAGGCAAGTGCTGTACCACTGAGCCACCTTCCCAGCCCCAAACTTTTAAAATTTTCTACAAAGAATATAAGTAGAGGGGCTGGGAAGGTGGCTCTGTGGTAGTGTTTGTCTTGCATGCATGAGGCTGTGGGTTTGATTCCTCAGCACCACATAAGCAGAATAAGCCAGAAATGGTGCTGTGTTTCAAGTGGTAGAGTGCTAGCCTTGAGCTGAAGAACTGAGGGACAGTGCCCAAAGGCTACTACTGTAATGCCCAGAGACTTGAAGCGCCTAAAAAGACCACCAGAGA